CCAACGGAGAAGAAAACGCGCAGGGGGGGGGGGGGAAGGGGGAAAAAGCCTTTACAAATATTTTGAGTGGTGTGGTTTTTTTGTGTGTGTGTGTTCTAACTGGTAGAAATAGAAAGGCAAGCACCTCTGTAGGAAATGCCTGTGACAAATGCAGTTGTCTTCTAATGATCTGTGGGGCTGTTTTTTACTTTTTTTTTTGTTTGTAAGGTTTAGGTTATTCAGACCATGTGGGTCCTAAGAGACAGTTTTGTTTATGCCATTTCATAGTGTTGCATAGTTTTTAACTGAGTCCAGCCAAGGATGAGGTAACATTTGAACAAGATTTTCTTAAATATCCTGAATGAACAATGTTTTGATGTCACAGTAACAGTAGAAATCTGTCATCCCCCTTCACTTGCACATTTCCACAGTTGTTGCTACTGAAGTTGCTCCCTTGCACGGTGAACATAGTGTTCATCACACTGTAGTTATAGCCCGACCATGGAAGTTGGGCTATAGGAGAGCTAAATGCTTCTGTACTTCCCATAATGGAAAGGCTTGTCCTTCTATTTGAATACATGCAAATACATATGTTAGCACAGTGCCACCAACAGTAATAACCAAATTTGTTAGTGTGCCAAACCTTTCTTGCTACTACAAACTATAGCTACAAAATCCCTGTGGATAATATAATAGGGAACTAGTCAAAACCCAGCGTACAAATGGATACAAAAATGTCCCGTTTCTATGACTTTGCTTCAGAAATTTCCACTACAATTTAGAAGCATATTTTTGATCTCTTGGTGGAAGAGATGACTTTGGCATTCACTCAAGGTGTGTTTCACCATAGAAATAGGTTAAGCCCTTCTGAAGAAGCTGTGGGAGATGCACCCTCTTTCAAGTCGGTAACTGTGCTCACTGATCTTCTGATAGAGCCTGCGATTCCTCTTTTGGAGGAAAAGCAACAAACTCTTTCATGTTGGTATCTTGGTCAGTGGTAGCATGTGTACTAGATTCATAAGGCTCACATGGGCAACAGCTGACTTCTTTCCTGCTCTTCTGCAGAATGGTAGCACGAAAATCTAACGTTATCACTGCCAAGCGATACAATTGTAGAGTCACAACTAAGATATTCTTAGCTGTAAAAAACACCAGCATCTGATTGAATATTCTGAAGTGGCCCATCAGGATTGAACGCACAATGAAGAAGGGACCGTCCTGTATGAAAAGGCTGACCCCAATGTTCCACAGTTCCGCGCTGTACCTGCACAGCAGCAGGCTGGGGATCCGCCTAGTCGATGCAGTTGGTTTGCAGCCAATGTGCTGTACTGGAAACAAAACATAGTTATGTTAAAACAACTCTCTAAAATTGAGCCAGGATTGGCCTAAAGGGCAGTTACAATCCAGGGTACCCTGGGTTATAAATGCATTTGACTGTGAACAGTTCAACGTAAAGCATATCCCGTTTCTGGGATCTGTTTCAGCAAAACGCCCTAAGCTCCTGTTAAGCAGGCACTTATGTGGTCTGCCAAACAGGACCAAAAACCACTTTCCCCTTTTCTATCCCATAAAGCTATCAGTATTTATACCCTTTTAAAACAAGACGCCGAAGTAGGTCACCTCATCTTTCTGCAACAACTTCCGCAGATGCTTTTCTGTTAAATCAACATGCTAGGCTAATACGTATCTTTAAGAAAAAAAAAAAAACCTTCCATGCTGAATGGGAACAGCCTGAGCTGTAGCACTTCAAGTTGTTCGAGGCTGTCCAAGACCTTGCTTTGAAAAGATTCACCAGATAGCCATTGCCTTTTTCATGTGTCATAGTAAGAATAAGTCATGTCAGTGCAAGGCAATATTGAGTATTATGGATAGGAAGAAACTGTGGTCGCTGCTTGCCATAGAAGACTTGAGCCACGGTTACTCATTCTTAGCCTTCTGGGTATGAAATTGCATGGATGAGTTCCCCTTGGCTATAAAAGTGCTGGTGGGCTAGAATGCTCTTTGTGGCATGGTGTCTAGAGAAGGATCATCAGAAGGGTTTGTATGTGGCAAATATGTCTGCCTCTTATGAAAATGCATGTAGCTTAACTAACTAACCTGTCTCTCAGACAGCGGGATTTCATGAGTTTAAAAAACATAGCTACTTGTAATGCAGTACCAACCACCAAACATTTCAGCTTACCAAAAGTATTCTATTGTTTGAGTCAATGCTGGGGAAAAAAAGAGACTCGAGTGGAAAATGAGTTGTAGAATGTAGAAATTTGCTGAATCCATTAGGCAAAGCTTTAGCAGCAGCTAATTTTTAAATATGTTTTTGTGCCATTGCTGTTTAATAGACCTAACTGCATTGCTGTAGTCCAATAATAAGTGCCTATAACTTTCTATTTTACATCACTTTTGATGTGTGAGTAAACAGACTGATGCTTGAATAAAAAGTACTGTCTGTGCAACTGTATAGAACTACCTAAATAAACTGTACCCATAGTAAATTTCAGGGCAATGTGTGTTCAATAACTTAATTTTTAACTGGTAAATGTAATTAAATAAGCAGAAAACCAATACCAAGAGAAAAAAATGCACAGTACAACAGGTTACTTAAATTCAAACAGTGTTTAAACAATCAGAGCATTAATTTATTTGGGTAGTGGTGGTGTGTATGGGTGGTTTGGGTTTTGTTTTTTGTTTGTTTTGTTTTTTTTTTTTTTAAACCTGAGTGTTGTGCATCTTTAACAGAATATATTTTACCAGTAACAGAAATTTTAGCTGTGATAAAACTGAAATGCAGTGGCATCAGTTTTTTTTCAGGAGGTGAGCTGCTGAGCTGAAATATTTTCATAACTTCAGTGTTAAAAACACAGCCTAGTGCTGTCCAAGAAGAAAAGGCTAATGAAAAATTCCAGGAATAATTTTTCATTGTTATTTTATTCATTTATTATTTTAATCAGTGTGTCAACCTGGTCATCAATTTTATATGAGATGCTAGTGAGGATAACATATCTTTGGACTGGTATAGTTGAGTTGCAAACTTGTAGTGATTGGAGGCCAAAATGGTTGGAACAGATGATGATTGAGGCAGCTTTCATTATTCTTCTTGGACATAGAGAAGCCCTTTCTGCCTAGGGACAAATACCAGCCTGAGCTGGCTGAATGTTCGGCCTTTTAGTTTAAGACAAGGGTGCACAATCCCAACATTATATGGTCCTTTAGGTTCCCTGTGAATAGGTAATTTCTCCTGTGATAACAGCTTCTATGCTCTTGGCTGTGCTGTCCCTTGTGGTTAACGACAGCCTATCTATCTGTAGGGCCTAGTAACCTACCCAGATTGGAGCCATAATACAATCCAAGACCAGATCTTACTTGAGAGCTCACATAATGAAGTTTAAGGCAGTAACAGGCAACTGGAGCAGATATTGCAATGCTAGTTTTTTTTTTTTTTTTTTTTTTCTGGAAGTAGAGAGTTTTATCAGGGAGATCAGAGGTTAGCCAGAAACAAGTGTTTCCTCAAAAGAAACCACGATGGGCTTTCTTCAAAAACCATCATAGTCATATGAATTGCTCTCCACCAGAAGTCCTTGGTATAGTCTGTAGCGTGTGCACAGCCGCAGGACTTGCCAGCAAAAACTTAAAGCATTTGTTCTCTTTTCTTATCTATGTGCAAGTACTAACCTGCAAGATCAAGTGGAAACTGTAACATACTCCAGGTCCATACAGCAAGGATTGCATTTATGAGAGCATAATTCTTCCTATGGGAGGGGAAAAAAGTGGTAATAGTGAAGATGCAGTTTCCTTATGTGATAACAAAAATGTTACCTTTAGTATTTGGAATGTCATTTAAAGGGTGGTTGAGTGAAACAGTGATTAATGCATGCTCTTGAGATGTAAGACTAAGAGGCACCTTTTGGTATAGAATTTTTGCTGTTCAGGCCACATGTTCCAGCTGTGTAATTACACTAAATATCTGATGCTAACATTATAATGATAAGCATACGGAAATAGACTCTGTGGCTCAAAGAGGAGATTATCTTTACCCTTGTAGTGATTGCACATTCCTTGCAAGCCTGAAGCTTCTCTGCCAAGTGGGAAGGACCTCTCTTCCTGCTGCAAAACCTTTTCTTTGATAGTAAAAGAAAAAAAAAAAAAAAGGCATGTCTGTAAGAGAGGATGAACCTCTTTCCTTATGATGGATGTTCACAGCTCATCTCTCAGTGCTGTGAGGGGGAGATGGGCTTACTTTCTCTGGGAGAGATCACAATGTTGAAAATTCACACCAGACTCTGCTATTCCCTTTCTTCTTATCTTTGAACACTTTGTCATTCTATCACGAAGAAAGTACGTATGAGACAACCAAAGAAACAACTTGGATAATGAATCACTACAGCAAACTCGAGTTGCTTCCTTGCTAGTCTAAAACAACTCATTAACCTGAAAGAGGCTTACTGTGTATCTGGTGTTTCAGCTTCTGTAGCTGTAAGAGCTGGCGCTGCATGGCAGTTATGCTAGTTGTTTGGCTCTTTGTACCCTTTTATTGTCATGGATGCAACATGCTTCTCTGCTGGCAACAGATGAGTAATCCCTAACAAAGCTCATAGGACTGTTAGGTCTTTTACAGAGGGAAAGGTGAGAGTAGGAAAACAGCCCTTGAGTGTAGCCTTCTGTTATCCGTGGGAAATACAGTTCCACTAGTCTGAACACCACAAATAGCACAAACAAATCTTTAAACAAAACAAATATCTTGCGCTGTGCGAATTATTCACGTCAGCAAACAGTCTTTACCGAACATCTTCGATGTCCAAGGTTTCACTAGCAAATTCAAGTATATCTGCTGCTGTTCCCACAAACATGAGAAGCAGCTGAGACAATTGATCCCGGGTGATTTCAACTCCAATGGGGAGAAGCCATCTCCCAACTACTAGTAGCAGTAGAAAAGTCTGATGGAGGGCCAGTGTCCATACAGTCTCACAGATTGTGGAGAGCTGATTCACAAAGACTTTAGCCTGTTTAAAAGACAACAACAATAAAATACTGTAACTTCAGGAGACTGACATTATAGGTACCTTCAGAGACTGTATTCATCCTTGAGCCTGCTTTTGTTCTCCTTCTCATTGTATTGGAGCAAATAATTTCTATGTGGCAGGCATAATTTGAAAAAGGCACATTAATACAAAATTTGGGTGATAAATAGCCAGTTTTTGCTCTGTGTACTACTCCTCCTCTTCTCATTTTTCAGCTGAGCGTTATCCTTTGCAGAACTATCACCCAGACGCTTCCTAAATTCAGTTACTGAGATTTGGAAGAGAATGGCAGGAGAGCCTCCTCTTCACACATGGACTTTTTCTACCAACAATAGTTGGTATGCAGCACACTGTAGGCCACTTTCATAATATGGTTTTCTATAACTATTTTTTCTTTTCTTAGTTTTAATCACTATGTGAGGAGCTTGCCCAGACAGACACAGCAGTCTCTCTAATTGCTCTAATATCATAAGATCTCTACTAGGAATAGGAAAAAAGGTGTCCCACCGTCTGAATGATGTGGTGATCTGTTCCCTCATTGCCATGACTGCTATCTCTGGATTGATTGAAGTCTTGGTTGCTGACATTCACCTGAACTGCTCCGGGCTCATTACCACAGTACTGTTGTGAACAAAAACATCACACGCGCATAAACATCCCGCACAGGCAGCAGATGTGCTCTGTGGCTGAAAGAGTCCTGTTTTGCTGAACATTTGTGAAAGTCAGTCAATGTCTACAAAGGTACATGCTCACTCTGAATGAAATTCCCCCCTTGTTCAGAAGGGAAGAATTCCTCTCATAAGGAGAAGAGTGATGTGTTGGTCGGTCCCTGAGAAAGTGTAGGATTGTACTGTAGAAGAGGATGTAAATTCAAAGGCTGATGGAGTGGGTGACACCTTTGTGCTGTTACGGCCACACTTGTTGAATGGGGTCTGCCTGCAGCTCTCCTGAACAGGCTACTGCGTTTCCTACATAATCTCTCTCTGGCTAAAACAGTAAAATGGGGTAAGAATTGGTCATGGTCAGTCTGCTGGTGTATGTTCGTGGTCAGTCTCTACATTCAAACTTTTTCTAAAAATGTCTGCTTCTTGTCTCTACTATACAGAAAAAGTTCTCTAAAAATCCCATTGTCTCATTCTTCTGTATGACTTCCCTCAAGGCTGAAATGAATAGTTGGGGTAGGATGTTTGGGTTGTATTCTCTGCACCACCACCACCCCCAGCTGTGCCTTATTCTGCAAGGAAATTAATAATGTGAGAGGTGAGATTCAGGAATAATTAAGAAAAATGGGCATGTGTTGTTGCCTACCCCCGCAGAGTAGAAAACCAGGTATTTTTACTTTCTCCAAGTACCCAGTGCTCTGGGAAATCAGATGTTAGCTAAAACATACTATTACTTCAACTGCAGTAAACCAGTGGTGGGACTGTGTCCTGTCTGAGGTCTGCAGTGCTGCACTGCCCTTCTACCTCCACCCCCAAGGCTGGCCCCAGAGCAACTGCGATATGGTTCTAAAATCTATCTTCATAACAATCCCTTAACATCTCTCTTCATTGTAATAAAAAAAGGATAATTGGAAAATCAAACCATGCTGTTATTAGAGACTTTTATCCTGTACTATTTGTGCCAGAGAACACCAGATGATTTACATTTCTCCACTGGGCCCCCCACCATTTTATTTCACAGGGAGTGATTTTCTGCAACAATCGGAATGTGTTCTAGTGCATACTGAGTAGCTCTGTGCAGCATAATGCCTGCCAATATAAAGGCAACATTTTCCAGCAAACGTCACATTCTAGCAAATTTCAGATTCCACTTTGATACTTTACTTGGTCTCTGATAACGTTGCTCAGTATCTGGGTAAATGCTGCCTCTTGCCTGACCTTGTCGTAGATAAATGGAGCAACTTCCTGTGGTCTGAAAAATCTGGAAAAAAAGTCAGTTGCTCTTATAATTGGTGGTAAAGGCTCTTAAACTGAATGCTTGCCTTGTTTGGACAGTAGGTATGAGAGCGCTGAAAGACTGACACACAGATGTGGGGAACATGATACTTCCATTTGGAGGAGGGAAGTCTAAAGTTCTGGGCATGGAGACAGTGAGACGGAGGGGCTGGTACTCTGCTGGCTCGTGGCCCTTGTGGGGCCAGTCTCCCTGGGTTAGCCCTTCAACCAAAGGAGGGAGACAGAACAGCTTGCTCAGAGGATGTTTCGGAAATGAAATTTAACTGGTGCTCTGGAGGAGCCTTTTTATCTGTTGATTGTAGAAAAAGTCTAAAGCCTATGGAGACCAGCCCCCAAGGTCAAAGTCAGCCTTTCTGAGTAACCCCGCCAGGCATCGTGACAGTCAGCTGAGGAGACCATGACCTAAAAATACTGCATAACTGGGGTAGCCACCCTGGAATATTAAGGAGTATCTACCTTGTAACAAGTAGCTGGGGTAGGGCAAAGGGATTACTAACCTGTGCTGGAGGATGAAGGCTAATTCACCTTGACAGCCCTTGGTTTGTCATTAAATCTGCATTTGAGCCTACTCCTCTGCCCCTTTGCCTGGTCTGGCAGGGGTAAGAAGAAGGGAGCCATGAACTTGCATTAAGTTTCACATCAGAGTTTGGGAATCTTTTGTCTCTTTTTTAAAACCCTGTTCCTCAGAGGAATTTGCCAAATTTGAGGCAGGACCCATGTAGGGCAGCCTGCTGCACTTGCTATATGTGTAAGGACAGTGGAGATCCCTTCCCAAACACTGTGAGAACTCCCAGCAAGTAAATCAGGTGGCTGAAGGACAGGAGTGAAATGGGAGGTAGCAAGGTGTATAGGTGCCTCTCGGCAGATGCCGTGGCTCTCCCCATGCCAACAATACAGAGCAGATAGCTCTCAGGGCTCCAGAGCGGCTGGGCCGCTTTACCTGCAGAGAGGGCAGGGGAGCTGCCGGAGTCAGCAACTCACACTGCTGGAAGGAGGTGGAGGAAAGAATGCCATGGCTTCCACATGGCTTGCAAGGGGGCTGTGGTTTTGGGGGTTTTTTTGTTTTGTTTTTGGTTTTTTTTTTTCCTAGTAACACAATGGTGCAGAGAATACTTCTTTAAGAAAATTAATTCACTCTATCAGTTTCTTTTGTAGGTTTCTTATATGTAATTTTTGCAACTGCTCCCAGCTGGACGGGGGGTTGCTATTTCAGTGCAAGTCTCCAGGAACTCTGACTGAGTGGCACTCCTCAGGGCCGGGTCCATATCTCTTCTCAACTGCATGCAGGCAGGAAATGGAAAACTGCATCTGCAAAGCCAGTCACTTAAGTAGACTCCTGATTTTTTTTAATTTAAGTACGTTCATATCTTGTTTTGGTTTGTTTCTCTCTGAATATTTATTAAGTGGTGATTGTGGTGGTGATTCACTTGAAAGTTTGGAGAAGAGCCTTTATTTTCATCATGTATATGCATGTAAATAGGGCTGTTGGTGCCAGGCATAGTTGCCTAGCTAATTATGTATGTGCAGTGACTTAATGGGAATGTGACAAGGAAAAAGTGAATACTAAATTTCACAGGCAATTGATAAATGTGCTTTATCTCTTTACTGCTAGAGCCCTGTTACTCCTAGGTATTGAGAATGTGTGCATAGCTAAACAAAAATGCTTTTTTTCCTGTGCAAAAATAAAACGGGAAGAAATTGTACACATTTTGCATAAATTCTAGCTTGGCTTACTTCCTTTGTTTCTTCTGAGATGAAGCTTACAATCCTCTGATTTACAAAACATCTAATCAAAACAGAAACTGTGTTGCATGAGATGGTGGTGTTCTAGTGTGTGGCCTGCAGAGAGCTCACTGTCAGTGCTTGGGATACTCACGAAACACTGAACTAATTCAGCAAATTTCTATTTGCATGTTATTCACGATCCATTATTCCCAAATAAAAACAAGGTTAGCTAAAACTTTTCTCAATGGGTCCAACACTGAGATGGTAAAATTGACACTTGAATACCAGGGCAGAGTACCCTCAATCCTGTTAACATTCATGGAGGCTGGCAGCCTGAGTGCGTTGTGGAGGACGCTAGCCCTTCCCTGGAGCAGGCCCTCTGCCAAGCAACAGGTACCCTGCTTGCTCTCTGTGATTCCAGCCTTTCTTTCTGGAAACAGTGGTGCTGTCCCTATAGCAACATGTGTGATGTCAGAAATTCAAAGCAACCATGACTGCTTCATTTTGCTAATACAAGAAAGCTGAAATGTAAAACAGGGAGAAAAGATTGCTTAAGCTGTTTTCCAAACTGAGGAAGATAATGGGTGTGGGAGGGAAGAAATGGTGAAAGATGCAAGATCGCTCTTCTAAAAGTGATATACTAGAATTTTAGCTGGTAAGAGAATTCTACCTTAGAATAAAGTTGAGGGAATGGGCAGTAATATTGACTATTTCCTTAGAATGTTCAAGTTAAGGTGGTTAAAAATAATTACAAGGTTTACCAAGTATCTGTCTTCTTACTGACTGGGAAGCCTACATCAACTACAGCACTGGTAATCAGGTAAGCCCTGCAAAAGGTGGTCAGTTATGGCTTTCTCTGGCAGTGATGCACCAGGCATCTGAAAAGGTAACAGAGGTATTTGTTTATCTGAGATCTTGTATGTTATGAAGAAAGAATGTTTGGGTTTTTAATGGATTAAATGGTTTTAATTTTCTTGCTACTCTTATTTTGCAGACAGCAATTTTTTCACTCAGTACAGTTCAATTTACTTTATAGTCTCTCCCAAACATGTATTTTATCCCCAAATACTTTACTGCAAAGCAATACTTTCTATGCAGTCAGTATTTCACTGTTGATATATGAATGGTATTACTCATGTCCAGTTCTGCAGTACTCAGAGAGGCAGAATTGCCTCTGTCTTCAGGAGGAGAGACTGCATATTAGCACATGCCTTAAATAGCAGCACCGACACAAGCAGTTGATGTTTCCTGTTAGATTCAACATGAGATCAAAGTTCTACTGCCTTAAAGACCACAAACTGTTTTCATGGTGGATATATTAAATGCGTGGATCTAGCAACTGCATAATTACCCATGCTGTTAGCATTTTAATAAGGAAAATCCCAGCAATAGTTTAGTATGAGAAGTAGTACCAGTCTGGGTGCTGTGTTTGAGATTAATTGTTAAGAGGGCTGCTCCCCTTCTGGAGGTATTGTTTTTGAATCTATTAGATTGTGTGTGTGTGTTTCCAGAACTCTCTATCCTATCTCTCCAGGTATAAACTAAGCTGTTAACTTGATATACTCCCTCTTTAATTCACAGTAGCAGTATATCAATAAGAACAAAGTATGCCATGTTCTAACATCATTTTGGGAAATAAACTGCTGCCTTTGACTACAGAATTAGCCTGTTTCTTGGACCAGATTTAACTATGACAAATGTTCTCAATATCCACATTACCTGTCTGTGACTGTTTAAGGAGATTTGGCAAAACAAGAAGACAATAAATTCCTGCTTGTATTTAGAAAAAGCCTAAGGCATTTTCAGTGTAAACACAATTTTGAATATTTGATTATGCTTCTGTGGGCTCTAACAATGTTTCAAAGGAGAAAATGAGGTACTATGTCTTCTTAGTCTAATTTATGTATTTTCTTCTGCTGCTTTTTGCTCTTGTTCCTATCAGGCCCTTTTCTGCTGTGGATGTAAGGTGCTGCATATGTGCAAATGCTGGGACAGATAAAATCCCCTTTTCACAATGTGCAAGTGCTATGGGGACTTGAAAGCAGACTGCATGGGGAGGTGGTTCACTCGGCATGGGCTGCTGGGCTAAGTGGCTCTGTTCTGGCCCTAACTGACCCCATCTGCCAAAAGAACAACTGCCTTTAAAAATTTTACTGTGTGTTTTAGTCCTGAATTGGAATCCAGACACCCTCCTCCCAGATTACTATACGGCATGAGCAAAGAAAGGATATAAACACTGACAGACAAATTACCATGTCAGCTATCTGTGGTAGCAATCTGTACGTATTCTCCTAGGTTGCAGCAAACATGAGGTAATTTGAGTTTAAGACCCCTTTCACTGATACCTGTCTCAATTTTGGCTTGCTTGGAGTTGCAATATCTGCTTGTAAGTGCTGTGAAACTCACTCTATTTTACAAAGGCCTCTAAAGCAATGAAATTCTTTCACCATCCTGAGCAAGATTCAAGCTGGTAACCTGGGGGTGAAAGGCTATTTTTCAAACTTCTAGTCCTCGGTTCCCCAGCCAAATACAAATAAATGGTCTCATTTTACCTAGGAATGGGGTTCATTATTTGATATTTAGGAAACAGACAGTAGTCATAGTATAGCTGTAGCTAGACTGGGAGACCCCCCCCAGTAGAAAACAGAAAATCGGAACAAGATCTGGCAGACTTCTGTGTCTATGCCCCAATCCAACCCGTCAAATAAGGCATCAATTTCAAACTAGTCCATCTTGTCTCATAATAAATACCTGAGTCCCATGATGAATTTCTAGTAGCCATAGTGATGGTACTATGCAAATCAGATATAAAAATATTGCTGGTGAAAACCTGTGAAGAAAAAGAAAAGATAGCTTGGTACTACATCACATTGTAAATATCATACAGCCTATCATTATCTGCATTGAAAAGTATCTTGTGCCTCCTACCATATGGGATATTAAGAACTAGGGTAACTGCAAATATGAGTTGCTATTCTTGCTGAATTCCTTATGCTGTCAGTATTATGAATCATAGGTTTATTTGTATATCCGTCTAAGATCATGTATGAAGGTTATTTAAGAACTAACCAAAGGCACTTTGCTGTTTGTATTTCCATCACAGCATTCTCTGTACTTAAAAAAAAGCCTCTAGCTAACATGCCCTTTCTGATCTCATGAAGGGTGAATTAATACATTGAGTTATTTCACTGAATGATGCTGGGAAAAGGCTGTTGATCCGAATCCTGTGCATTGACACAGGAAAGGTAGAAATAGCATCCGTTTGCGTAAAACAAGCATTTCTTCAGTAGGAGGTCTTTCAGTGCAGGCTAAAATGGTTTATGAAAATGGGTCTTGGCCTCATTTGCCCATTTGTGCTGGCAATTGTATAATGCTTTAGGATTTCTGTCTCTAGCTCTTCTCTCCCTGTCAGTCTTCTATATAACTTATGATGGTGAAGCTTTATTATCTTCAACTTCTTGAGCTGAGTTGATTCAGAAATACTAGAGAGGTCTCATTACTCCTTCTGCAAGCACTGATTCTTGTGAGGGTTGCTGATGTTTTCTTATTAAACACGTGACAGTTTTGTTTGGGGTGGGTTGTTGGTTTTTGGTTTGGTTTTTTTTTTGGCAATTCCTAGCCTTTTGGAGTAGGAATGAGGTCTGATGCCACTAATGTTCTATCTAGCTCTGCCATAGTACGGAGTGAGCATCACTACAATGCTGCTGAGAAGCACAGCAACCTTTGCATCACACGTATGTACTGGCCCAAGACAAGGCAGTGGAGCTAAACTCGGGATACTTGCTTGATTCCTTCTGTCCTGTCATTGGCACATTCTGCAGTGAATTGAAATTGCTTATAAGTATGTAACTGTAGCAACATTTTGGTCAAATGCTGTTGCATTTATTGTTTGTTCCTACCCTGAGCGTACCTTTTATTTTTGTAATTATGACTTTTCCAGTGGAGATTAAGTATTGAGGAAAAGAAAAAAACCCTGCTGTTCAGGAAAATAACTGGATTGCTGAGCTGCTATGAAATGTTTCAGTCAATCCCCTCTAAATAAGATAGTTCTGGTTTGGTGTTTTGCTGGGTTTTTTTCTTTTTTTTTTTTTTTTGGGGGGGGTGTTGATTGTTTTGGTGGTGGTGTTTTTTGTTTGCTTTTTTTTTTTTTTTTAAACAGTTAGTGATTCTCAGGGGTATTAGCCTGGTTATTTTGGGAGAGAACACACCTCTCATTTGAATGGGAGAACTAATATATTTTACAATATTTCCTGTAGGACTTGAACACATGAAAAATCCATCCAGCTGGCAGGTTAGCAATACTGAGTTAATGATACCAGATCAGGCCAGGAGACTTCAGGGGCTTTAACCCTTCCTTTCTTTCAGAAGGAGCAATCTAGAAGAAATATTACATGGCCAGGCCCACAATAATACTTTTTTCCACATGGGCCATTAAATTTTTTGTGCTGGTGTAATAAGCAAGTCTTCTGTCAATAAGGAATGGAGAGAATAAGAGGCTCTTGGAGGCAGGAGAGTCCTATGGCACAGAATGTCTGTTGCCTGGATCAGTGATTGTCTATGGAGTTGTTCCTATAAATGCAGATGATATTGCCTGTCCTGAATGTGAGTGTTTTCCACCAGAGCAGAAAGTTATCCTGATACAAATAGATGCTGGCCATTCATTTATAGGTAAGAACTGTAGACATATTTTGCTGTTCTTCTTAAAGTACTGGACCACATCCATTTTCAAAATTTTCTTCTAGCTAAAGTTAGCCCAGTCTTCTAGCACATGTATTCATCTAAAATCTATCTTTCTTCAGATTTTCCAAAAGCTGCCATAGCAAGTATTCCTTCATGAAGTCTCTGCTGCTGCCTCCTCTCCCCAGTGAATCAGGTCTGCTCACTCTGCCTCTGTCTCATAACTCTGCATTTGGAGCTCTGCTGTTGTTCAATTTTCCTGTGTCCCAGACTTTATTGCTGCTTTTATTACATTCAGATTTAGAGCATGAAACACTTCTGTGAATTATCACACAACACTGCTTCTGTTATAATGATTTTCACAGGTTGCAATGGACAGGAATTTAAGATCATTGAAATACTTTTGATTGGGTTTTTTTTGTCCTGGATTTATCTCAGGGCCTGCCTGCAGTTTGAGTTTTTAGAAATAAAAGGTCCTAGTGAAATCTTGACAATTATTTACATGACCACTTCCTTTTTACAGAGCATTTGTTTTGTCTGACTGAGCACTGATGAGCTGTAGATGACTGCAGTAATTCTTTAGATGCATGTAAAAACCCATGTGCTTGGGCAAACTCTGCTATGAGTAACTTTTTTGTTTGTTTCTCAGGCAGCCTTTCATGCATGAAAGTTCCCCTCTGGAATAGCCTCTCAAATCCAAATATTTAAGCCACTCTTGCTGTATTGCAAGAGTGGTTGCTGCTCATCTTTTATTTGTCACCGAGTTTTGGTTCACGCATTAGTGTGGCATTAGCACTGTTGCAAGTAGCAAGGGCAGGGAACGCAGTCCCAGGGAAGGAGGTGCAAAGCAGGGCATGGCAGGATGGGGTAAGAGATGGAGGGCATCTGCATGGAATAGCCTGTGTGGGCCCCCAGCACTCTTCTGCACCTCGTACGTGTTGTCCCTGACGTGTTGTTGCTTAGGAGGTGCCCAGTGATACTGCGAGGGAGTGCGTGCCCCATGCTTCCCCAGCCCACTGGATTGGCAGCTCTAGAGCATGTACCTCTTGCCTGCAGCTGCTTTTACCACGTTTTTCGGCTGTTAGTATGGATACACACAGAGAACTGTACAGAGAGTTGCTCCCAAGTAGTCTGCTGCAAAAGTGCCCCTCCCAAAAGCCCTCTGGATTTGGCAATGGACTAGCCAGGGCTTTACCAGTTTTCCACCCCACCACCCTCCAGGTGCAGCAGGGGAGAAAAAGCAATCCCCTAAAAGCTTGGCAGCAACAAAGCCAGGGCAGTACTGCTCTCGGGCAGCAGCCGCAGAAGGCAGCCTCGCATCTGCAGCAAAGTACATGCAAAGAAACAAGAGGGGCTCCGTCGGAGCCGGCGGGATATGCTCACCATTTGTAGCCTCTGCCTTGCTTAAATTTGAGGGTGAGCCCTGTCTCCAGGCACAGGAGAAGATTGAGCAGTGCCAGCAGCCAGTACTTGGGTTCTTTCTTCACTGCAGTCACTCTCCAGACCCCGATGAGAGAGTGCAACATGAAGAGCAGGCGAGTCACCAGAGCATTGAGCAGCACCATCAGCTCCATCCTGGACCAGCCCCCCTCCCCTTTTCCCCGCACCGCAGGGCCCCAGCGCTTTTTAGGAGCCCTGGGAAGTTACCCTGGGAATCACTGGGAAGCGTGCGCACCACAGGCACACAGATCTCTTCTCCTCTTCCATCTCCACAAAGGGGCCCATTATAACAAAAAAGAAACAGCATTGCCCCTCCCCCAGACTTCCTGAAAACTTTTTAAAGGGAAGAAAAGAAAAAAAAACAACCAACCCCTCACGCTTCCAGGCTACAGTGGTTTGTAGCGCTCAGTTCAGCTCTGACCACACTAAGACAGGGGCGTAAGTGGTTTCTTTCTGTCCCCCCTCTATCAGCTGCTCAAGGCCTAAACGGCAGGGAGGCTTCTATCTCACACAGTTACCATCTCTCTGCTAGCCCCACTCACTGCTCTCATCTTGTAGATTTCTAGCAAAGAGACAAAATGTAAGAAGCATTATTAATTTGAATCTTCCTTACTAAAAGCTCCACTGCATTACTGAGACTGCAAAAACCCTCTTTCCTCTCCCCTCCCCCTGAAAGATATAATTCATAGTTGGGAGCTTTTAAAATTGTTCATTTAACATTGCATTACAGAAAGCACAAACTGTGTACTTAGTTCAATACTGGAATCCCTGTGTGCAACAGAAGTTAGAAAAGCTAACCAGTACTGAAATCTAGTCAAACTACTATACTAATCTACACCCTGCTTCAGGACGAAGAAGCAGCCCCAGTGAGGAACTCCAGAAATCAGGCCGAAATCTGGGCCAACACTAATGTTACCGAACAGACCAACAGGGACATATACAAAAAATATACAGAAGTTTGACTGTTAGGTCAGTTACCTCCAGACTGACCTTTAGCAGCTTCAGTGGGAACAGTTTATGAAGTACAGAGTATGTTTAAAAGTTGCTTTGATGTCTCTCATAGTGATTATAAATTTTATTTGAATTTACACCTGGGTAACCAAAGAGAAATCTCTTCATGATCAAATTTGTCACTGTGTTGCTCCAGTTTTGTGTTAATTTCGGTGCTTTGGCAGTAAATTGAGATACACCATTGTAAAATACAAATGGAGAATCAAGTCCATGTAACGTATTGTGGCACTCCAAAGGTCCTAACTTCCTAGCTGATTTAAGTATCTTATTCTACTTTAAACACAAGAAGATATTCTTTTAAGAGTTGTGACCTTTGTAAGAAGACATTTTTCCTCAATTGCTAAGATCCAAGTTTTCCTCACTGTAAAACCAAGCCTCTTTCTCTATGAAGCGCTGGTGCTGGCCAGCTGATATCCTTGGGAGTGGGGGCAGATGAGGGAGAAGAATACTTAAAAGTAACCCTGCCCAGAAAAAAAGAAAAACAAAAGGCCATTCCACTGTATAGATCACTCAGGAAATGCCTGATTAAATAAATGGACTGTGCAGGATGCCTTTTTGAAGCAACAAAATCAAGTTCCTCACACTCAGAGGAAAATTAATTCAAGTCAAGGGCCTACTACTGATAATCCCCTGCCAACAGCCACCCTGCCATATCATGCCTTGAGTGCTGTTGGTTCTGAGCCCTTCCGTTGGTGTTAAGGTCAAACCTAGTCGAAGAGGAAATAGGGAACAGACAGAACGCAGAGATTGTTTAAACAAGATACTCCTCCGTGGGAGTGCTTGATGTCTAAGAAATGACATGGGGGAACTGGTATGTCTAATTGTTCATGGAGATCCTAACAGCGCAGATGTCATAAACTTGGGAAGATGATGATCAGTGGGACGTTGCCATGATATCACGTATTCAGGAAGGACGCAGTGAGCTTTGCTGATAGCTAGTGGTTCTGCATATTAAAGACACTTAGGAGCTGAACTGCTTAACAAGGTAATCTCACCAATGAACAATCCAGACTTCACATCAGTGGAAGTCCCACACTTAAGTAGGAAGAATATATAATACTGACTCAGCCCAGCTGACCAGTGGACCATGATGGCAACGCAACAGGCTGAGTAGAGGGAGGAAATAAGTAGGTATGGATGACTTCAGTTATTCAGTCTACAAAAGGCAAAAATTGCACCCAGAGTACAGTTTTAGATGTCTCAGTGGCTGTTTTGTGGAGCAGCTGGTTCAGTAGCCCATGAAGACAATGCTTGACTTTAATCCTGAGTGGTTTACAGGATATGATGTAGACAGTAACAGCTGAAGAGCTCCCCTGAAATGGGGATCTTAATGTGCTTCAACTCAGCATCCTTGCAGGAGTAAGACATGCCAGAGTTCTCTACCATTGCTGTGCTCAGCTTCGAAAAGGAAAATTAGACACAGATCAGGAAGCTTGTTGAAAGACAGACAGATGGAAGACCTAACTCTTTGCAGGGAGTATGGATATTGCTTCTGTAAATCACATGGGAAGTGCGGAGAAAATAACTGTGTATCAAGAAGAATGTGAGAAAGAGTGAAAAGAAGCCAGCGTTGGCAGGGTACGTGAGATTGCAGGAGCAAGAAGGCATCCTTCAAAAAGCTGAAGTGGTGTCCAGATGAAGAAAACTGAAAAGATGATAAACTCTGGCAAGTTAAACGTACAAACACGATAAGGCTGGCTTAAGGAGTGTGAGGGACAATTGGCAAAAAGCATAACAACTAAAATGTCTGTTATCTGTTCAAACACACCGTGAACAGGAAGTCTGCCAGGGAATTGTTGGGCCAGTGGATGGTCAGGTGGCACAGAAGCCTTCGGGGTGATAAGGCTGTGCAAGAGGAGCTGATGAACCCTTTGGAGTCCCAGCATGAGTACAGTTGTACGCTGTACTATGGGACAGCGCTGATTCCTGCACAAAAGCTTCTAGAATTAGTTGGGATTTTTCCCTTATATTATATGTACTACTGTTTCACTAATTTTGTTCTTTTCATAGTTTCTACTAATTTGCAACTTACAGCTGTCAGGCTAAATGATCATGGGCTAGGGAGTACTTGGGGGAGAAACTTTGTGTTTACCTTGTTCTTCTACTCTTTGCCTGAGCGTGGAGTGAGGCCTACTGTTGCAGGCAGACAGTGGAACAGATGGACCTTTGCTCTGACCTGAAATGGCTACACTAATAGAGATGAGACTTCCTAGTCTCTAAAGAAATTGACCTGCAGTGAAAGCAGGACAGTTTATGCATATGGTAGGTTGGTAGTGTTGGTTGGATCCAAGCTCAAAGCAAGGCTCATATCTGTATGGACTGTTCTGCTAATGATATACCCTCTCCTTTTTTCTGTCTGGAAACTTTGTCCATGTGGATGCTGAGAATTGTCTGTGTCTGGGAACCTTTGAGAGTTCGATCGTTCCAGATGAGTTGCCATACTCTGGCAAATCCTGGGCACGATGATGTGAACATGTCATGGTGTGGAGGATTTTCATCCAAGACACCTTGGCAAGACCTACTGCATGTCTCTTCCATATAATAGCCAACTGCCGCATGTCTGATGTATTTGGGCAATGTTAAACCTTACTGTGACCCCAGCACCGGTGACCTTCTGCAGGAATAGGAAATCTGGCACTTCAAAAAGCTGTGCCACAGCATCTAATTTCTGCTTTTAGGCTGAGTCACTATGCTGATTTCACTCAACAGACCCCATAACTGTCATAAATTTGAAATTGCACCAGTTCCCAAGAAGAAACTAGAGTGGAAATGGATCACAAGCTGAATGCATGTCAGCAGTTGTGAAACGGATGGTCACATTAGCATGTCGATACAGAACTGACACCTGCAGAGTGTCTGCTCTCCTCTACTTGGGAAGGCCTTAGTTGAAGCGCTGTCCTACTTTTGGTCAATGAGGGAGAATCCAGTGGAGAAGTGCAGGAGCATTTCTATAGTAGGAAATGAATAAATTGCATAAACAATGGTTAATTTTTAAATAGTAAAAGTGACAGCCTTATTAGGTTGCAGTGCTTATAGAATCAAAAGACCCCTGTTCAAGCACCTGGAAGACTCGAGTTTGGACAGGAGTACAGGGGTTGGAAATCATGTGAGGAGGAATTCCAGTACAGAAGTTCTGGGGGTTTTGGTGATCACATGCAGTGGTTGGTTGGTTGGTTGGTTGTTTTGGGTTTTTTTTGAGGGGGAGCTCTGAACAAAGGAGGTTGTCTCAGAATTTATTTCTATTGCTTACTTACAAACTGGAATGTTTTTGCAATGAAACTGGGGGTAGTGGCTATTTGCCATCTTGAGTTCAAGAGTCTTTGAAGATCTGATTTACAATATTTGTAAAGAAATAATTATAGGGTATAAAGCAAGTAGCTGAAAGAGACTGGGGATGAGAATGGGTCATAAATTCAATGCGAGTCAGCAATGTTGTTCTGCTATGAAGGAGGCACACTGGGATGTATAAACGGACCTGTAACATTGCCAGATTTATTACTTCCACCTTCCCTGATGCTGGGAAAGACCTCAGCTAAACTAACCTAATTCAGGTGATGCATTTCTAAGAGAACTGATGGGATAGAGTGTCCAGAGAAGAACAAGACTGCTAAGGAAAGGAAAAGGGGGTGCTGTGATTCAGTCTAGAGAAGAGAAAACTCAGGAGAGATGAAAGTGGCCAAGTGTTCAGGAAACTGTTGCAGGGAGGCCAGGAATAGCCCGTTTCCCGGTCCCAAAGCATAGGGAAGGAAGTAAAAGGCTTAAACAGCAAGAAAGATTGCAATTAGTTGTCTGGAGGCATATCTTGGTAGGAAGGACAGTGAAGCATTGAAACAGATTGCACAGAGAGATGTCAAATCTCCATTGTCGCAGGCTTTTAAGCACAGATTAGGGAAACATCTGTCAGGAATGACAGCAGTTTAGTTGATCACACTGTGGGGCAGAGGGCTGACTAGAAGATCTCTGGAGGTTTCTCCAAGTCTTACCTCCTAGGGCTCTGAGGTTTATTTCTTTATTATCTGATCATTGTCTTGAGACTCTGAGAAAGTTTCTTGCTTAAATTAAATCTGCTTAATTTTACTTCCAATAGGGTTCTTAAAGAGGAGGAAATGTTTTCTGAATGCTTGACTGCAAACTGTGAATAATTATGACAGCCTTATAGACAGATCACAACAAGTGGCAATTAACATACATGTTGAAATGAA